TGCAGAATATAAACACCCTCTTGCAGTGGATGGAGCCCAGTAAAACCTAATAATGAAAACACTGTGTCCTAAGCAGCCCTTTGACAGAACTGGAGGGCTGTTCACAGTTTTTTGAGCTGACCTACAGATCAAAATACTAAGAAACTCACATGTGACTGTGTTGCTGGAGCATTCTTTGAAATGCTATGACGTATTGTTGTGCCACCATAGTAAAGTGATTAAAAAATGAATGCTCTTCTCATACCAGATCTCAGCTTTGAATACATACAGTGGACAGCCATCCTGCAGGCTTTACATACGTTTTAGCTACAAAACAGTATCTAACAAAGCCAACTTTTAAGACAACATAAAAGAGAAGATCTAAAAAGGCAGAGAGCAGCTGAATATATATAGCAGACGTAAATGATATCGTTAACACAGCCAAAGCAGACATCTCTCTTTCGCAAAAGTGGTAGGCCTATTCATCACGCTATGATATTTAACAATATGAGGTAAAAACCATTACACTGTACGTAACGTATGTGTTGGGATACAGCTGCACAAGTTGTACATAGAATGAGAAAAGACATGATTTCAGAGATTGGTGGGCTCATAGAAATGTACACTTGAGAGAGAGAGAGAGACTTTACCAGCCTACTGCCTGTCACAGTGCATGGATTTCCCACCATCTGTCATAATGATTTGAGAAAAGCCAGTTGTTACAATTATAGCTGTACTTACATAAAACATAAAAGGCTGTGTGCATTTGTACTGTATATGTTAGTCCCCTTCATATAATCCTCTGCTCCCATCTAGTGGAGAAAACGTGGCGCTAAACTGTAATGAAGCTAGTAATACGCTAAATAAAGAAGCTTTTACCATCACCACACAGTCACACCACATCTTTCCTTGGTGCTCACTCAGTGACCTTCTTAAAATGTACTTTAGCAATGTTTTTGCTTTTATAAAATGCAGTTGCGCATTTTGCCACTAAAAAATTCAGTTGCTCCTCTTTGACCTTATTAATAGTTTCAACGTTTTCACATTTGTTTTTTTTTCTGTGGTTTTTGAATCAGCCACATATTTATTTTATTTCCAGGTATCATTAAAATGTCTTCACGAGTCTCTGGGCTGCACTCTAAAAATCTGCAGATAGCCATTTTCCCAGCTGCTCAGACACTCTCTGAGACTCTAAGGAGTTTGGCCTGCATTCTCCTGATGCTGAAATAAAACACACTGGTTAAAGCCAAAGAAATGGAACAAAGCCATAAACAACATTCTGCTGTGTTTCACAGTTAAACCTAATCATCACTGTGAGATGGCCATATGAAATAACTGCTTCACTGAAATAAAAAAAAACTGGATTTCCTAAAAGGTCCTTTAGTCCAATTTAGATAAATCTGAAACTGCATTTGTTCCTGAAGCAGGCCAATGTAGTTGTTTTTTTGTTTTCTTTTCTTTTTTGCAGAAGCTATTTTTGATTCATGTTTAAAGCCAAACACTGGGCCAGTTTTGGTTCATGATTTCTTTGACACAGTCATCCACATAATAACCACCACCTTTACAACAATTAGTCCTTGAATTTTTTTGATATAATTTTACATTTTAAGGAAGTACATTTGTATCTGGGTGCACAGAGGGTTTAACAAGTCAAATTCTTAATGAGTAGGCCAATAGTAGCTCCACAGTGTGCCAAACAAGCAGCTCAGTTGTAACTGTAAAAGTGAACAAGTCCGCAGCAGAAGACCTGATCAAATATGCAGGGACATTCTGGAAAGAAAAACAGCCGAGTTTTATTTTGCATAAGATTGTGTTATATACAAAACACATTATGTCTGACTTTAGCTTGGGTCCCACTCTCAGCCAGTTAACCAGTTCATTAATTGTTAGGGCTTCTGCCAGTGCTCCATCTACTTCACGATCAGGCAGAGGGCGCCAGGAGGCAGGCTGCGCTGGGAGACAAGCCGCACAGCTGCTTACAATGAGCTGATTAGCCGGTTGCTGGCGAACTCTCGTCATCAGTATGTCCCACAAGTTAACAGAACACTACGTGGCCAGCATAGTGTGTGCTAAACTACTCTGTTTTGCCTCTCCCTAGTTTGTGCTTTCTGCCCGTTCAGCTGATCAACTCACCTTTTTGTTCCTCGTCGCTGCCTGGGTTGACTCCAGTCCTGTGCCAGCTCTGCTTTCCTGTTGCTCCTCATCATGGAAAGTCAGTTATCTCCAGCCCAGTGTCAGCGCACTCACCTATCGGTTCCTTGTCACTGTTTCCAGACCTGTGTCAGCCTGGCAACCAGTCGTTCCTCGCCACAGCCTGAGTTGCCATGAGCCTGCCCTGCTCTGGTACAGCTCTCCAGATTCCACTGGTTCACCTCCAGTCCTTCGACCCGCCTCTACCTCTACTCAGCTCCTAGTCCTCAGTTGGTGACACACCACAAAGAATCTTGAGTCAACTCCAGTTAGGCCTGCCAGTGTCTCTGCCACCGTTGCCCCCGCTTACCCGTCAGCACATGCCTGGTTAGTCTCATCCTGCTCTGAGCCACCAGCATTCCACAGACTCCGGCTTCCTGTCGTCACCCACTGACTCCAGCTCTGCCTCGGGCCCTGCTTTCTCTCATGACACCGGTGCCCCTATCCCGTCCTACCCCTGAACTGTGAGACCGGTTCCTGTTGGAGAGGCCCCGGTTTACCCCACAACCTTATGAACTCTTCTCTGCCTAGTCAAATATCTGATTGAACCTTGTATCCGAATCCTGTCTGTTGAGTCCCTCGTCCTGATATCTCTTGGTCTCAAGGTCGTGAGGCTTTAACATCATGCTCAGTTAACCTAATAAAAAAGTTAAAACAGGATAAACTGTAAAAGATGAAAACATCCATCCATCTTCATCCGTGTATCTGAGACTGGGTCGTGGGGGCAGTAGCCTGAGCAGAGCCTCCCAGACTTCCCTCTCCCCACACACCTCCTCTAGCCCCTCAGGAGGAACCCCAAGGTGTTCCCAGGCCAGCCAAGAGACATAGTCTCTCCAATGTGTTCTGGGTCTGCCTGGAGGCCTTCTCCTGGAGGGACATGCCTGGAACACCTCTCCAGGGAGGTGTCCAGGGAGCATCCTAAAAAGGTGCGCAAGCCACCTCAACTGGTTCCTCTCAATGCGGAGGAGCAGCAGCTCTACTCTGAGCTCCTCACGGGTGACTGAGCCCCACACCCTATCCCTAAGGGTGCATCCGGCCACTCTCCGGAGGAAACTCATTTCCGCCGCTTGTATTCTTTCAGTTATGATCCAAAGTTCATGGCCATAGGTGAGGGTAGGAACGTAGATTGACCAGTGCAAGATGAAAACATTGACATATTAAAACTACAGAATTGAGTTGTAAGTCACTGAGTTCAGCACTATGTGCCAGTCTTTATACATTGGAATAAACTAAGCTGACACTTCAGAATCTTGACACAGGTGTGGTGTTCCTTTCATTTCCAGGAGATGGCGCTGCTGCTTTACCATGTGTAATCAAATAGACTAGAAGGCAAAATAGAATAAAATAAGGTCACTCCTGGATCCTTATCTAAACATTTTTGTCAACATAAAATCCACAAATAAATTAGATGAATTCGTTTGCAAAGCTGCAGCTTGTAAGTCCTTTAAAATGATAAAGGTTTATCTGATCATCTAAATAAAAGTAAAATAGGATATTGTCCATCAAATAGTCTGTAATTATCACTATGATTTAAGATGTATTGCTTGCTTTTCTCCAAATGTAAAGAGAGACAGACTGAACTGCCTGAAGCTCTGATGACAAAAATCAATGGGGGATGAACAGGCCCAACAGATCAGATCAGTGACTGGCCTTTTCAGGTGAGAAACTGACATACAGCATTATATTGGGAAAAGCACAGGTGGAAATAAAAGTAATGACCACTGAATTTCATTTATCTATGGCAAATTCAAGGGTCCGGGCACAGGGGTTAGTGCTGTGGCCTCACAGTAAGAGGGTTCCTGTTTCAAGCCCCGGCTGGCCCAGTGCCTTTCTGTGTGGAGTCTGCATGTTCTCCCTGTGTCTGTGTGGGTTCTCCTCCAGTACTCCCGCTTCCTCCCACAGGCCAAAGACAAGCAGCTTAGGTTGATTGGCAACTCTAAGTTGCCTGTAGGAATGAGTGTGGGTGGATGAGGTTGTCTGTCTCTAAGGATCAGCCCTGTAATATCCCGCCTCTCGCCCAAGGTCAGCTGGGATTGGCTCCAGCCCTCCACAACCCTTGTTATGATAAGCGGTAAAGATAATGGATGGATGGATGGGAACTTTGGGGTCCTTCTATCTTGCATCCTGCCTCAGTGTCACACTACATGGCTTACTGTGGCTTATTAGCAACACCCGTTGTTGTTGAGATTAAAAGAAATTACATTACAAAATCAAATTTAATTTTTTAGATACTTACATGACCAATGCAGCAGAACAACACAACAACCACATTTACAGTGCAAATAAGGAAAACAGTACATGTGAAAGGTTTTTTGAAGGAATACTGCTGCAAACTAAAGTATAAATGCCACGAGGTGGCAGTGTTGGTCCATAACCTGACACAAGCTATTACGAGACAGGCAGTGGTGTGCTCTACATGCACTAAGATTCATGAATAGAATCGAAAAAACCCACACCTCCATTCTAAAAAGTACTATATAGTTATTTATATAATAATAATAATAATAGTGATAATAATAATAATAATAATAATAATAACAATAATAATAATAACGCAATAACAATGATAACAAAAAAGAATAATACAACTAATTAAAACAACACATTTACCTTAACCATGGCCCACATTGTGCACACTTTTTGTTATCAATTAATCATTAGAGTTGATTTGAGTTCGTGTCCTCCTAAACCGCTCCAAATTTGTTCAACACTTTCCTGGTCTCTGATTGGTCCACTCGCTGATTGGCCTGTCCTCTGATTGGCTGAAAGTTCGGTGCTGGGACAAGCCGTTCAAGCAGTTTGTTTTGTCGCCTGCGGCTGGGAGGTGGACGGCGAGCTGCTGCTGAAGGCGATGTGGGTAGTTTTCAGGATTTAATTTTGTAACTAATTAGCTGAAGTGTTACATAGACTGGCGGGACAAGAAGATAAAGTTTTTATTTCTCGCTTTCTTCCTTTACCGGGTCCTGTTTCTGCTCTTCCTCGAGCGGTTTACATGACTGTCATTCAGAAATAGGTACTACAGCCTGCAGCGCTCACGTGTTTCTCCATAGTCTGTGTATTTTTTATATTTCCTCCTACATTTACGCTCATATTTTCGCTCCCTTAATTATATCAAACTTTGCGTACTTAGTAATTTACTGCAACTGGGTTTCGGTGACTGACGTGTCTTTTCACAAGTGTAAATTATTCATACCTTGAATCACGGATTAAGTTTTCTAAATCAAAAAGTATCTGGAAAGGAGGTGAAGAACGCTTTTGCAGGATACCTGTAACGAGTAAGAGACTGGGGATAATCTCATCATCGCCGGGAACTTTACAGTAAGTCCTATTAATAAGCCAGAGTTACTGTAATATTTATATAACGTGTTTATCTGGCTTCATAGTGCACTGGCAGCCTGTTTATCACCTTACTACCTGTTGTTCATGTTTAATTTCCTATTAGACGCTTTGTTTTACTCTGATACAATTGAACTCCAAGTTGAACTTGTGTTATATTCTTATAAAAGTTTCATCGACATTATTCTACAAAGGTTGTTACTTAGAGATAGATGTTGCCATGTCCGTGAATAACAGAGTTATTATGTGTAATTTTACAGTTCACTTTGACATGATTCATGGTATGAAGTAGCTATAGCCCTTTAACAGTGTGGTTCAATGAGGGAAACTGTCTTTATGTATGAATGCAAAAGAGCAGGCTTTATGATATTTGCATCCATTCATTTCATTAAAAAATTATTGATTGTACCCAGTGATAATTCTCTATTATCTTATTATCCTAAGGCAGACTTTCCACCACTTTAAAAGGCTTTTTACTTTTCAACTGTTCCAGCCACTCCAACTGTTTTGTTTGAGGCTTATTTGGAATTTATCCTGTTAGCATCTGTTAACTACTTACTGCAAATAAAATACCATTAAACCTGGCTTGTGTAGGTTCAGAATCTCTGCTTGATTGTCATTAATCAGTTATCCTGCATCTAAAAGTGTGTAGCAGTTTCTGAGGTGCTGAGACCGTGAGGCTGAATATACAGCATGTGAAGTACTGAAACAAGATCTCATGAGGTTCAGGGCAGAATTTATGTGGCGGAAAGATTGAAACCACTGTAAGGAGAGACATACGGACAGGTGGGCAGAATAAATCTGTGAGAAACACAGTTTGACTTCTAGAAATGTTGACTCCTATGGTATAGACATTAGACAGATTTATACTGGGGTCCAGTTAATGATGAACACTTTACTTTGTTCTGACTGCTGTTGACGTCTCTGGATCAAGAGAATATTGAATGTAGAACACACAGTACACCAAAAAGAAGATTAAACATTTCAGAAGTGAGTGCTTGCATCCTTTCACCTTCTATTTGTCCTCTACTCTTTGAAACTTCAGTCTGGCTGGTTCTTAAAAAGGTCCAAACAGATTACTTCTGTAGCCATAGTCATTCAGTAGAAAAGCAGTTTAAAAACATGTAAGACAGTTCACCATTAGTGAAACATATGTTGATTATTATTATTTCTATCTATTTATTAGTCAATAGCTAATATTTTTGAGTTATTTTTACTTTTTTTCCTCCAAAACTTAAGGCAGACGTTGGTTTAAATTTACATTTTAATTAAATTGCACTAGCAGTTTTCCGGCAGCAGTTAATCAAAAAAACCTGTCAGATAGAAAAATCACACTGCGACACTAGAGGGGTGGGTCATATTTACTCCGTTTCTTTAAATTTCAGTATTCCTGGGAATGTCTCACTTTGTATGCTGTTATAAACAAATGAATTTTTTTTTTTTCTAATTTCACTTTCCTTCAGAGTGGCTGAGAAATCTTCCTGAACATTAAACTAAAATGAAGCTTCTCTGGGTCTCTCTGTTGCTGGAGGTGATCCTGATGTCCACCGCCGCCAGGGGTGAGTAGCATTACTGTCAATAACACCAGCAATAAGATAAAGACAGAGGATATATATATATATATGTTGTGGCAGCTTGCATCACTACCCAGTGACTTTTGTACAAAAAAAAGTCTTCCAAAGATTTGCCTGACTTGGGGTAATTAACTGGAGCGAGATTTCCAGTCACTGTGTCATTTTACTTTGGTGTTGCAGAGTTTGGAATATCTGCAGACATTTGTCCTTGTGTGAATGAAAGTTTTTGCTCTTTAGGTAGTCAGTGAACCTTTCACTTTGACTGGTTAATCAGTTACTGTCAGGTATTCTTGCATTTGTTTGGGAGTTTCAGACTCTACACTTGTGTACCTTGTAGTGTGGTTTTCTACCTGGTTCTTATTTTACAAGGATGCTTCCTTGTTGGCTATAGAGTAAAATGTAGTATTTCATCTCAAAATCTAAATTGATCAAAGTTCACAGGGATGTCACTGGTTTGCTACAGGGCACTACCCTCAGTATTCAGCATGCTACCTTGTAAACATAATAAAAAGCAAACAACAGTGGCCACACATAGATGTGGATGGTCCCCAGCTTGTAGGCATTATGCACAGATGGTTGTGGAGTTGGCGCCTGTTCTCGAGATCACACCGATGATGCGTTTTCAGCGGGAACAAAGCTGTATTCAGCGAGGCAAGGCCGAGCCAGCATGCAGACACGGGGCCGAAAGTAAACACAGGGCCATAGACCGCAAAGAGATGAGATTAGATTAGCCTATTAGGGATGTTTGCTGTGCAGTGCCACAGTATTTCCTCCCCCTCCCTGCCTGCAGTCTGTCAATGAAACCAGGACATGCAGCAGAGAGATACAGAAGATGAGGGTAAGTGGAGAAGAGAGGATCAAGGAAAGAGATGGAAAGAAAGAAGAGAAAGAGAGTGAAGTGGAGAAAAGGGGACTTCAGGAGACAGAGAAGGGATGGAAGATGAAAGAGAAGGAAACAGCAAAAAGAGAAGAGAAGCTGAGGGGAAAGAGCGAGGACAAAAGGAAAAATGGTCAAGGGAAGGAAACTGATTACAGGAGGGGTGTAAGAGAGGACACGAGAGAAGGAAGAGGACAGAGGCCACAACATTTTGTTAGGGCATGTGTTACACTGTCTGAAAACTATGGAGAAGCAGCTGAAAGACATCTGTACAGTACATGTGTGTGGAGAGGGATGCTTGAATTTGGTGGTTGTGTGGTTTGAGGGTCATACCATGTAATTGCAAACTTGTGGTTTTGAACTGGAGCAATGCAGCATGTCATCCGTTTTCTATTTGTATGTCGTTTATACATGACCCTCTTTAAACCATGAGGTATATTATTGAACAAAACAATTAATTATCTGAAAATGGACAAAAAGAATACGGGAAATTACTGTGTTTAAAAAACAGAAGTTTATCATTTATGATGACGCTCAACCAATTCCTGCAAGTCATACCAGCATTTTTACATGCTTTTCATTTACCACATGCAGAAAAACATTCCAAGTCACAACAATGTTAGGTGCCAAGGTCAAGTAGAATAAATTCGGCTTTATCTTAATAGCTCCTGAAACTAACATTTCAGGCAGAGCTTGCATGCAGGTTGTCCATAACACAAAACTGGAAAATTGAAATTTTTACATGACCTTGAATGTTTGAAAAGTTAAAAGCATTTCTACAAAATTTCTACAAAAAAGCCACAAATTCGCATCGTAGTCTTTCAGGAAAGCTCTGCTAATACAAGAGCCATATTTGCAAGACCCTAGTGGAGCAATGTAACCTAGTGCCTGCACAATGATCTGCCCACAGTACACCCTGGCTGTGCACGTAGGAGTGAAGGGTGTTGCTCAGTTGTTGAGGAACAAACAATAAGTCTAAATTAGCCCAATGTGGCTGAATCAAATAACACACTAAACAATATTAGAAGGAACAAGAAAGTTCAAACTCTTCACACCGAGGATCCATATGAGACATCTGTCTCAGTCTCTCAATGCAGTAAAGGCCAAGTGTGACTATACAGAAAGGAAACAACAAATCAAAACTGAGGCATTCATTAAAACACATTTTTTAGGACTTGACATTCAACCAGTCACTGGATCACACCTTACAGTTATATTTATCTAATTGCAGCACCGTTGCTGAATAAAAATGTATTCAGATACATCAGAATCAGAATCAGCTTCATTGGCCAGGTGTGTTGGACTCTGGCACTTTTCATATATTGGGTAATGAAACTCATCATTACAATTTCCAGTCTTTTTCAGTTGATAAATGTAATAACGACTGTAAAGAAACATTCTCTCAGTGGCTGGTGTGTTGCGTTCTCCACTGCACTGTAAGAATTGACACAGAGAAACATTTTTATTGGTGACTACTGAGATGTTCCAGAGAAATATGCATACCGTAAGTGGGTTGCTCAAGGCAACTGTATAAACAATGAACAACAAAAAGTGAAATATTATAGAATACACTAGGCTATTTAAAACTGACAACATGAACTTTTGAGGCCTGGTCTGTTTGGGAAGTTCCCTTTCGCACACAAGGTTTGTTACAGTAAATGCAAGAGCATTATTGTATAAATCGAGGAAAAGAGTTTCTTTATAACCGCTCACAATTAATACAAAGTCCAATATGATTTGTTACTTCAGTGTAAGGACAGCTGCACACAACCTTGAGAAACAGACGCCAAGAAAGTGATGAATGGAAGCAGAATCAGTGAGGACATTGGTGGACTGTTGCAACAGACAGAGATAAAGAGAGAAATTCACCCTGCCAGCTAGTGTATCTAGTCAAAAGTTTGTGTTATGACTGATTGAGCCCATGTGTGAATACAGCGGGATATTGTCCAGAGAATTCACACTGAGCTACGTTTCTTCATGTTCCTTCATGGAAACTGGAAGAATACAGGTATCCAAGGGTGAAGAAGATGATGTCTAACTGGAGAGAGGTCAAGATTAGTGGATTCCTGTCATTAAGGACCGATACAGAAATCTTCAGATAAATTCAAGGAATGGCAAGAGACTCAGTTATGACCAAATTACAAACCAGCTATGTGACCGTGTACTTTTTGTCATATCCTTCTTCCTGCACGCTCTACCCAGGTGCCACCCCTCACATAAATCCAATGTAGTATTTCCAGTAGGTGAAAACACATCTCACACACACAGTCTCCTCCTGTGTACTACATGTGCGAGAGGGCGACTCCGAACACTGTCTGGCCCTGATTCTCCAGACATTGTGTGCAGTTCATATGAGAAAGAGCAGGAGGCAGACGGACAGAGATAAGCCAAAGGATACACACAGAAAGAGATTTAAAAAACACAGCGTTTCTGCCCTGATTGCAGCAGATGTAGAGTCACATAAACGGCACTCCAGAGGGTTACACAACTGCACTGTTTGAACCAGCATCTGTGCTTTTGTGTGTGTGTGTGTGTGTGTGTGTAGCTGACAATGAGACTGAGTAGCTGAGATATTAGTATTTCTCTCTTGTTAGTTGAACTGCATTCTAAGCTACCTGCTGCTTCAGTTAAGTTCAAGTGTGTAGAACACACTCTTACACTGTTAAAGGAACAGTTTATGTCAGTAAGCATTCAGTGTGCTTATTTGTTTTGCTTGTCAAAAGTTGGGTGTGTTTATATCTGTGATTTCTTTGCTGCTACAATCTCCTGCATCACTGCTTTCTACAAATAAACCCTCGTAAATTCTCAGCTTGTTATTTTTACATGTATTTTTTCAGTTCTGTTTTATTTGTATAGCATCAAATCACAACAAAAATCATCTCAGGGCACTTAGTAAGGTGTAGACAACATCATTACTGTTATTATCAACCCATCCATCCATTGTCTATGCTGCTTACCCTGAAGCCAATCCCAGCCGACACTGGACGAGAGGCAGAGGTACTGGACAGGCTGCCAGTCTATCACAGGGCTGACACTTAGAGACAGACAACCACACACACACTCACACTCAATCCTAGGGGCAATTTAGACTCATCGACCAACCTAAGCTGCATGTCATTGGACTGTGGGAGGAAGCCGGAGTACATGGAGAGAACCCACACAGGCACAGGGAGAACATGCAGAAAGGCACCAGGTCAGTCTGGGTTCGAATCCAGATCCTTCTTAGTGACAGCTATTATTATTATTTTTATAGAGGAAAACCCAACAAATCCTCCTTGAGCAAGCATTTGGTGACAGTGGGGAGAAAAAAAAGTACCTTGAACGACAGAAACCTCCGACAGACCAACAGACCCAGGCTCTTGGTGGGTGGCCTTCTGCCTCGATGTAGATTTTGTTGTATAAATTAAACAAGTGAGATATAATGTTGATTAATGTGATTGAGAGGTGCTGGATTTTATTACTGTTGGACACTGTCAGGTTCACTGTTTGCCTTTTTTTTTCTAGTCTATATGCTGTATCTCTTGACTATATACGTAGCTTCATATTGAATGACAGAAAGCAAGGAAGGAAAAAACCCATTTTAGAAGTGCAGATGTTGCTTTTTGAATGGAAGATTTAAACTAATATGTAAAGTGTTAGCTATGGTTCTTTCTTGGGTTCCCTGATAAGGCAGGTGACGGTCGGTGTGAGCAGCAAGTAGGTAAACTGTGATAAGAAAAACGAGAAAGTAACAACCGAAACATGCTGAACAGATCAACCATTTGTTTATAGGCTCACATGTGGATTGTGTATTTTTAATTCTAACCCGGTTCTTTAATCTGAAGGCCCCAAGAAGTAACACGCATGTGATGCCACATGCACATCAGATGGTTACCAGCATGTCAGATAGTTTCGACATACTGTATGTCAGCTGTTGCACACTTCATGGTCAAAACAACTGGAGCAGGCCGGCTATAACAATAGTCATGTGGTTATTTAAGTCGATAAAAGCCCTGATTGTGTCACCCATTATCCCGAGGAAGGGAGAGAAACACAGAGATGAGAGGGTTCTTCTGTTGTTTTAATAAGTGTAAAGAGTCACGCACTCATTCAAACACATCTTCACTGC